ATAATATTTTATCACATCTCAAAATGTACTATAGAAGCAAGATAGCCTGACCACCAGGTTAGAATCGCCCAGACTATTAAATCACTAGATAGTGTTGCTTCAATGTAAGACTACATAAGTTAAACAATTGTATCATTCCAAGTAACCATGATAGATTCATGCCATCAGTAAGACAACATAAGTAAACACTCATTATATTGAATATAGTCTAAAATCAAAAACAAAATTTTTTTTTGATGAATACTTATAATAGACGTTAATATCGACTGAATTCTATCGATCATTCAAAGAAACAAAAGGTTATCACCAAACCAACCATCAACCAAATATCAAAATGACTTAAAAATAACAAAAACAAAACTAAATTACATTGGCAACTAGTAATTTATTATACTATTGAACTTTTCTAATTACACAATATGATATGTGAAAAAAATATTTACTTTATTTATTCTGTACTACTGATTATAATGCGGCCTATACTCCGTTGGAAGTAACAGATGTAAGTAAGTAGGTAGGCAGGTAAGTAAGCAAGTAAGTAAGTAGGTAGGTAGGTAGGTCAGTAAGTAAGTAATTAACTGATTACAATGGTTAACTACAATCAAAAAAATGTGTTTTAAAGGGTCGTAAAACATTTGAAAAAAAGATTCTGTTTTATATAATCATTAATAGCTTTAAATTCATTTGGTATTGTTTATTTGAATCTTCCCATTTATAGTTAGGACTGTAATTGATTAGTCTCTTCATTAACATATGTGCATACTGTGTGTTGTGGGGCCCTTGAATCTTTTTGTCATTTAGATAGGACGATGTTGTCGAAAGGACCCTGCACTTTAGTGGCCCGAGATCTGACTCCAAGGAGATTGTAATGATGATTATAGTTGAAATATATATGTTGCTTATCCTCGTATATAATCATCGACTCAAATCGCGTTAGTCAATAACGGATTTATATAAGTTAAATAACGAGAATGGACTTTTGAATACGTATATTTTGTATATGAAGCGAATGGAATAGAGAGCAGAGAAAAGACGAGCAGTGGAGACGGCAGGTAAGCCAACTCCCATTTAACCAAGCGTTAATCAATATTTATAGTTACACAAAAGTAAGTTACAGATACGTGATGAGTAATGGGATAAGAAATGTACATACACCTACGCGCTCATATAAAAACAGTCAAGATTGATAAGCGAATAAATAAAAAGGTCGGAATGTGACTCAAGTAAGATGAATAGAATGGGATGTCCGAATGCTAGAATAAGTTATATGTGCTTAATATAATAACCGACACTACAGTGTGTTGCCTCAATATTGCCTTAATTCACAAGTAATATAAGCAAAGATGGATAGTGGCTAGAAGTGAAATGTAGGACTTACGTTTCGTCTTATTTACTACATCTATCTGACGAGTCTCAAATAGGACAAAACGCCCGTCTTGAATTCCAGTGTTAGCTGCTGATTAATAGCTTTGTTGTAAAGAAAAAAAGTGTCCTGAAATGAACTTTTCTCACTTTGTGAGAAAACAAAAATAATGAACAACATTATACAAATTGTGAGAATGGATTAAGAAAAGTACAGAGTTCTAATAAATATGATATTGTTTATATGATCCATTATATAATGAAATGAATGGAGATATATTTTCATAGTTAAACTTATAGTTAGTGAGAGATTTTGTGGATATTATAGTAAGTTAATAGTTTAATTCATGAGTTAATTGAAACTAGATCACCATGAAAAACGTAGAAACACTTGACGGCCGTTTTGTTCTAGGATGGGACATCTCCTGGATTCGAATCTCACGAGACGGGATGATGGATGCGCAGATAATAGTTTGTTAATAGATCAATATTAGTAAATTGTTCAAAAATTTAATTTGAAATATCATGTTGCTGATTGAAATTTTACCAGTTATAATTGGCGTATAGTCATCCTAAGACGATTGCCTTGAAGTATTCATTATGACACATGTTGATGATTCTATATCAACAACCAGGTAATCTAAACCATTTAAGATTGAATCAAATCTAATACTCATTGTACAGGTCAGTTACTATCTGGACTCAGTAACTAAATGGGTAACTTGATGGTATTTGAAGTAAAACGGTATTGAGTTCGAGTTTCGGAGTGGAGATCAACTGTGGGTACATCCAGACGTAGATAAGTCCCAAATAGAACAAAATAGGAGTTATATATTTCACTACTAACGACATTTTATCTATGCTATAAAAACCATAATACATACAGTTATTAAGGTCAGTTTCATGAACTTGATTCCTACTTACGTTTCAGTTTCTACAGGATAACTGATAAAAAACTGCTTTCAAAACTGAAGTATGTGGGCGGAATTTTAACTGTCAGCTCAATGGTTGAAAATCTTTTGTTTAAACCATGAAGTCATCAATTCTTACACACTATAAATAATGACTCCATCATTCGTTTTTAATGATAAATTATTGTTCAAATCATTCTATGGAAAACTATTGGGTACTTGGAAATAAGAAATGAAGATGAATAACTCGGATCATATCTGTGTTGCAAACTCACAAGTTGATTAATAATATTTCTGACAAAATCAAATTCACAGGAGTCAAATTGGACAAAAATATCTTATTCTTGGACGTTTTAATTAACAAAATAAGCATAAAACCTTTTAAAACACAAGTATATAGAAAACCAAGCCATATAAGCCAAATACTGCCGTCGAATGCCCTGGTATGGCCGATGGTAGGAAGAGTTCGTTCCCCCTCTCCAATTGCTCTCACATAGCCACGTGCATAAAACCACTGTCAGAGAAGTCCTACTTATCGCATCACGTGTGTTGTTTACGAAATCGAGAGGACATAAAATGAATGTCCGATGCTTTAACCGAGTTGTTGGACACGAAGATTCCATCTAGGGGAGTTGGAAAACCCTCATTCCGAACCAATGGTGCACATGGGCTCCAGTATTATTCTAAAGGAACAAATGACGTATGAAGCAATTATTTGTGACCTGCTACCATGTGACTGCATCTCCCGACGTTGCTCCACTGCCTTGTGTATCATTCTATTAGGTCGAAGGCTCTGGTTGTGGTTCCTAATAAAACCACCTGTTTCGGTTTGGGCACCCAGGCATTACCACAGCCCATACACAAACCAAATGAGTTGTGTGTCGCATATGTATTCAATGCCTCTTTGTACCATTATCTATGTGTTGAAATAAATGAAATAACCTACAGTAGTGAAAACTTAACAGAACATAAAATCAGTTTTATCGAGATACTGTTCAAAAGAATCGAAGCACACTTTAAAACTCTTACAACAGAAAAGTAATAAAAAATCTCGTTTTCAGTTCATCTTTCGTAAGGATGACTACGTCAGATAACTTTGTCAAAAGATATTTAAGAAATCAACGACCCAAACCAACGAAACAGATAGTTCCATGATTGGTAAAAAAATATTTCAGAAACTATTACTAGAGCTCGGTAGCCGTTTGGAATTAACATTGCTCACAAACCAACACAGCCATTTTATTCTAATATATGCATATCAAAGGATAAGACCAACTAAGAAAAATCTTACATTATACAGAGTGAACGCCTCCATACTATGTATAGATGAACATGGATTACCAGTGAGGTAATATGATATGATATCACTCATATCAGTGCAAGTTGGCAGTCATACATATGAATTTGATTGTATAAACATCGAAATTCTGGATCGAGGAAGCTCTAAAGCTACCAAGGAATTTGAGGGAGCGTGGCGTTCAGAACAATTAGCAATTAGTAGGCGCACTGACATAGACCCAATCTATAGATCCATAAGAAGGAGGTCAATCAATCACAAGTTCAGACGTTAGTTAACGAAAACAATCAACTTGAATTCATGAACAAATGAAGACAATAAAATCCTCGGAGACAACCGATCACAAATACTTATCGAATAGCCGAGAAGCTCATTTCTACACAAGGCAGGAACTGAATGAGTTTTTCAGAATAACAATAAAAGGTCAAAGAATACAACACCACCAAAAACATTTCACACTATTCTTATTATTACTAAGACTATGGTCTTTTAGGTAATGGAAGTCATATGATTATTTAAGAAATTAGATATCACGGGACTTTTGAATATACCAACCTGTTACTAAGTAACCGTAATATAATAGAACTTGTTTAAACTAGATATATGAATATCAGTATGTGGTTTTAGAGATTATTAAGTTTTTGATTGAGATCATGAACCCATTGATGTTAGACCACCATTGAAAATCTGAAAGTACTGGACGGCCACTTCAACCCATTGTGGGACTCCTCACCAATGTGAATTCACGATCCCACTTTTTATATAGACATCCATAGGTGTTGTTGAACACATATTGTATTGTGGTGTGTGCTACTTATGTCGACCTATATAAGTAGTACTTAACACCAATTCGAAAGCGGAATGCCTGGTAGCAAAAAGTTATGAAAACCGAATAGAAGAGAACGGGAACAGGGAGTGATTAGTATGATAATGAAAGAACAACAAAGTCCGAGGCAATTGCTGGACATTTTGCAAGTGAATTATTGAACGTATGGTATTTATATTTTACGAAATAACTGTAATCATATAATGACCAATATTTTTAGAAGACCCGTTGAGTAAATTTGAATATGCTATGTGAAATAGTCGATATTTTATTGATTCAAAAATAAGTTTCGATAGGAGGTTTTATGATGGGTCATCCAATTTGAAGTTATCTAATCCCTTATAATCAATTATTAGGAATAAATAAAGTAGGCAATGGTTATTTAATCAATATATCATGAGTAGAAATAATATTTGGTCGGAGATAAAAACTAGCTTGAAGATATAGTTGTTGTAACGGGTGAGTGCAGGTTTTGATAAAGCAGCGTTTATATCGATCGACCGGTTACAGTGACACGTAAAACATGTACGAACGACCTAGTGCCCTGATTGGCCCTGCCTTCCTGTCTATCCCAGCCAGTTGAGTCCAGAACAAAGCCACAGCCTCTGAGATATGAATCATTATATTTCAAACACACTCTGTTTATATACTAACCAAGCATACCACATCGTACCATAAAAATAGGAAACAACATTTACACAATATTAAATAACTGAAGCAAATATCGACCAATAGGAAATGTACATTTAACGTCCAAGGACACCATTCGACTTGACACGATAATTATTGGCGTATTCCTCTGCATACCTAACACCTCCCCCTCTTTTTTGAGGATCCGGAGTTGATATCCGGATTTTAAAATTTTCTGCGTCCGTCCTCCCCCGCGGAATAATGTTGGGTCCTCATGTACCCAAGTAACAGTTAGTCTGATTCTATTTAAAGCATATTTCGCGCATTGAGTAGAGGGATCATTAAAACTGACTAGATGATGAGGATTAGCGACACCAGACATGAGGTCATTCAGGTTTGATTCTTGTGAAACATATTCACCAGAACTCTTCAAGATTCCATCAGTGGATAATAGGTCACTAGAATAAACAGCTTCCTTGAAATTTGTATTAGATTCATGACCATTATTTGATGCATGATACACATTCTCTGGCACGAGTTCTTCTTGTGAGTTGTATACCTCACATGTTGCGGGCACAGTGGGATTTGAACCCACGACAGGGCATGCTTCTGAACTGGACATTTCTGAATCGCTGGACGGATCATTAGCGACTGCCTCGTTTGCATTGCTGCTCGTTAAGGATTCATAGAGGCTTTTGTTTTCATATTCATACCTTCTGCAGTCATTTTCGAGTTCAGTATGCAGCTGAGAAATTAATTCATCAATTTCTTTCACATCTCCAAAACACGGGAGATTCAGCAGTCGCGTGCGTAAATTGTCCAAAACATTCAACTGGCACTGTCTGAAACGCTGCTGCTGGCGGTCAAGTAGTAGCTTTAATTGATCGGGAAGTATATTCATTTTCTGAGACAGCAGGGTAATAAGAAATACTGTGAGCAATTAATAACCAATGACTTCCAAGAACACCGATAACAAATTCGGACGCTGATTGGTCAAAATAATTAAGCTGAATCTCGTCCAATTAGAGGGTTCCAAATTTTCTCTACCCCGTCGCCAATTGTTGTAACGGGTGTGTGCCTGACTGCAGGTTATTGATACGCAGCGTTTATATCGATCGACCGGTTACAGTGACACGTAAAACATGTACGAACGACCTAGTGCCCTGATTGGCCCTGCCTTCCTGTCTATCCCAGCCAGTTGAGTCCAGAACAAAGCCACAGCCTCTGAGATATGAATCATTATATTTCAAACACACTCTGTTTATATACTAACCAAGCATACCACATCGTACCATAAAAATAGGAAACAACATTTACACAATATTAAATAACTGAAGCAAATATCGACCAATAGGAAATGTACATTTAACGTCCAAGGACACCATTCGACTTGACACGATAATTATTGGCGTATTCCTCTGCATACCTAACAATAGTCAAGCAAGACTTATTTTAGTCAAAGAAGATTATTTCATCATAATGTTATATATTGGAAAATTATAGCAGTATTACCACTGGCTTCTATTCAGAGATATACATAAAAGTCTTCCGAAGCTTGTTTAATTAGTCAGTTAGTCAACTACAAAATAGGATCAGGCATATATATGCATCGGTCCAAGTTGCCATATCCCATTAGCACAACAACATGATCATCAAATGGTAGTGATATATTAAAGAAAGATTGAATATAAGGATATAATAGAGGTAGAAAGAATTAGTTCATAAGAAGAAAGGTATAAAGTAATTTTAATCTCACGGTTTAAAGATAGACAAAGAGTGTATACACCTACTCCATTGTGATCGATTCTGTGTCATGTCACTCAGAGTCTCCAATCACTGGTTACGATAGCCGCGCGGATCTCGACCAAGTAGTCTGAATCTACCAACCTCGCTTAGACCAGATGTTAGTGACTTTATGGACTGACATCACGTATAGCCGCCCTTAATTTTCTTTCAACCGTCTCCAACGCTAGTCAGCATTACGCGTCGTGGTAATCGGTGTTCAGGCATGTGTAACACGTGGCCTAACCATCTCATTTGATGAAGATTCACAATCTCATCAAGTTTTTTCATTTACTAAGTATCAAAATATTATGCTGTTCAACGTTAAATTAGTGCAAATAAGGATGTTTTTTAACAGTCGAGTTCACGTGTCAGTCTAACCTAGACCACAAGTGAAAACCTAGACGGCCGTTTCGTCCTAGTACTAGACTCCTCAGCAATTCGCATCCATGATCCCGCGAAAAATGTTATCGATAATATCACTGATTTCATCGAATGATAGTTGAAGAAATAAATGAATGAGAATTTCAAAAAAGGAATAATTATCAAGTCCCATTTTTGGCAGTACAATTCTAGGATCGGTATTTTGGTGGAGTTTTGTTCTCTGAGCTGGATGGTTTGGTTGTGGAGCTTTCATTGTTCTTCTGAACGACATCATCAGCACAAACGTCAGATAGAAGTGAAGTGTTCGAATTTTTCCATTAGTGTTTCACAGCTTGTTCTGTGTATCTCGATGTTGATTGGTTCTTATTTACCTTAAATTTGTCATTGTTTACTTCGTTGTTTTGGTTGTCTTCCATTGGTTTGATTTTTTTCCTTATATTTGTGCATGATTTTCCTAATTAGTTGGTAAATTGGACTGATTTCAATATGCTTGTTGATTGCTGATTGACCTGAGTACCAGGCTTCTAAAAATTCTCTGGTGTTTTTAGAGTTTCCTCTGTCTAAGATTTCTCTAGGATCGGTATAGAACGATGGTTGGATAACAGCTAGTTTCTTATCAAAAATAATAACTGTATCAGTAAATCATGTTACATACACACAATATCTGAATGAAAACCTTTCAAACTATGAAATTGTGTGAACTGTGCTTCAATTTCTACAAGAAGTGTCAGTTCCTTCAAGATCCCAAAAATGTCTTGTTGACAAGTGATAAAAAGTATGAAAACTAAATCCGAGATTAACTTGGTGTTGTTTTACTTGTATCTTCCCATTGTTATTTAGGACTGTAATTAATCACTCTCATGTTGGCATATGTGTATCCTGTGCAGACTGACTCGATATATCCTTAAATCACAAGTTTTTTAAACAAAGATAGATAGTTCACTGGTTAAAATCATGAGTCAATTGAAGCTAGACCACCATGGGAAACCTGAAAGTACTGGACGGCCTTTTCGTCCTAGTACGGGACTCCTCAGCAGAGTGCATCCACGATACCACACCCTGCGAGATTCGAACCCAGGACCTATCAGTGAAATTTCTAAAATCTCCACAAAACCCCTTCTGATAAAGGTAGATAGTGACTGAACATCAACTCTGGGATGCAGGTACATCCAGCTACTAAGTCCTAAATAGGACAAAATGTATGTCCTGGATTCCACTGCTAATCACTGTCCATCTTTGCTTAATTCCAGGAATTCCTGATAACTACTTACAATCACTTAATAAAATAATAAAAATTACCATACATCTACAATCTGATCAATTTTTGATCGGTGAATAGTTAATTATCAATAATGAATTGTGAGAAAATATTGATTTTCTTATTTGACGAAATACATAGACAAAAATGGTGAAGATTTGTAGCTCAGATGGATGATAGATAGAAGTCTTCTTCACATAGAAGACTACTATCTGAAGTTTTTGTTGCTGATGATGTCGTTCAGAGGAACGATGAAAGCTCCACGACCAAATCATTCAACTCAGAGAATAAAACCCCATCAAAGACATAGACAAAAAGAAAAAAAGCAAAACCATAATCCATTTAAGAGATCTAGAATAATAATAACAATAATAATAATAATCCATAATCTTAAAGAATAAATAACGTTTCTTGTAGTAAATCACAACAAACAAACAATTGTGATCATCATCACTAGTCTCCGTCACTGATAAACAATCTAAGCCAATATCAGATTATTGTAATGTTTAAACGAATTCTGTCAACATTTCATGATCATTATTGTTAGTAGTCACTTTACAATGATTAGATTGAATGTGTTTTTCCTTTGAATCAATTGATTTTAATGAAATATCCTCATCAATCGAAGAATTGGACGATAGTTGTGGTTTTTCTAGACCAATCAAAGTAGTAGTAAAGACTGGAGGAGGTGATGATGATAATGAAGAACTAATAGTAGACGAAGGCAGTACTGATGATGATGTAGGTAAAGAATGCTGAGAAATACCGTCTATAACTTGATTCTTATTGTATAATGATGAATTTAATTCCATTGACCGACCACTTGTTACTGATGATGATAATGATGACTGAAATTCTAACAAATTCGAAAAGAAAACAAACAGTATGAGATGATGACAATCGAATTTTTGGAATAACCTCTTACCATAGCAAAGTTTGCAAATTATAGTTAATCTTTATGACTACTGCTTATACTTTTACTCTATCTACCGATATGGGATTTGAATCGACAATTATATCTCTGTGCTAACGTGGTATGGCAACTTGAACTGATGTACGTATGTACGAAGTTCCACGTTGTTACTGACTGATTGAAGGATGTGAATTACGTCGGTGTTGATAATAAGAATTGAGTTTTTGATTAAATTTTGTTAGGATATCTGAATCTTGTACAAATTGTATTGATATAGACATTTTGTCACAAATATCTTGAAATAGACGATGACAATAAAAATCTAGTATCTTTTGCTTCAGTTCTGAAGATCAACAATAAAATAACTCAAATTCTCATCAACAGTGATACAAATATTATATCCTTTGGACAAGTTAATAGATATCTGAAATCAGTAGCTCAATAGAAAATATGTTGATGTTTGAAGAGAAATATACTTGGCTGGAGTTTCAACATCTTCAGTGAGTTGGAGATACATTCAGCTGACAAGCCTTAAATAAGACCGAATATATGTCCCACATCTCATTGTTAGACACAATCCATAGATTCTAAAACAATTTACAATTTAAATTCACTTGGTATTGTTTACTTGAATTCTCCCATTGATGATTAGGACTACACTTGATCAGTCTCTTCATTGGTAAATGTGCACACTGTGCGTATTGAATCAATATTGCTATCAGGACTCAGTAGCTAAGTGGATAACATGATGACATTTAAAGCAAATGCTACTGGGTTAGAGTCCCAAGGTGAACATCAACGCTGAGATGTAGGTACATCCAGCTGATAGGTCCCAAATAGGACGAAACGCACGTCATGGATTCCATTGCTAGCCACTATCCATCTTTGCTTAAAATTACAATAGACAAGGAGTTTTCAGGTTCGAATTTTTACGAGATTATGAGTGGGTAGGGACTACTGAACTAAAGTGAAACAAATGTCCAATACTTTTTAATTTACGATATATTTTTAACCATTTTATAGTGAAAATTGAGATCAATATCGAACACTTAGTGATACAAACAATGATTTTCCGAGGTGACCCAGGTAGTTTAAATTTACTCCAATTTTTACTCATAAGCTTCAATTGTTTGTAGGCGCTGATCGTCGAGTTAAGACTTACGTAATAACTGTGATCAATGGTTAAAAACTTCCAAATCCATACCCTTGTAGCACAGATATATTCACTCTTTATTTCTACCTTAATCTTGAGTTTCTATATACCGTTTAAATAGAAGTGGATGTTTGAGAAAGGTGAAACTGGTCAAACTATTTTACATGGTGAATTATTATGCCTATTTTTTGTGTAATTATCATACAATCGGTTTTACTTGGATACATACTTACTCCTGTTACTCCTCATGGACAACGATAGGCTGTCCATCAGGATTCTTCATCCCAATTTCTCCTGACCAACCCTTCCCACTTGTTTCAATTTCTATTGATTCTTTTGATGTGTGCTTCCGATTCCCAACGCAGTGTATTATTTGGCCTTCTTCTTTCTCGTTTCCCTTCAGTATTCCAAGTTAGCGCTTGCTTCATGATGCAGTTTGGTGACTTCTACTATGTATGTTCCATCCACCTCCAGCGTCTTTGGTTTGTTCTTTGCGAAAGTATGTTTTTGATGATGGCATCCGATCAACAGATATTGATTATCTTGCATAGACAACTGTTTGTAAATATCTGTACCTTTTCGATGATGGTTGTAGTAATTACCCAAGTTTTGGTTCCATACAAAACAGTCGGCTTATAGTATTCTGATTATAAGGATTTTTCTAACTTACTGACCGTTGACATACATATTTCTACCATCCTTAAATTATCGCTAATCAGTTATTCACCTA